CCAACCTGCTGACTATGTCACCAACACCAGCTCCAGGAAGGCACAACCTCTGTCTGACCTTTCTCTCTCGGTTACAAAAAGCATGGTCGATATATCTTACCTGAGAATCTCCTACTATTAAAATATTCTTACCTTGATTAGCAGGGAAATCAGTGGTACCTTCAACCTCACTAACCATTGAAGTGCACTCGTCCTGGAGAACAGAGAATCGATTTCCTACCTTCTCATCTTCTCTGTTAACCCTCCATATCTTCCTTCTTCCTGAACTGTGAACCACTTGCCACTTAAAGCGGCTGCTACTATCACCGCTAGTGACCATTTCCTCCTTACCAGCTAAATCCTTCTCACACTCACTCCCAAACTCATCTAGGTGAAGCTTCAGGCTCCTATTTTTCTATTTTGCCGCTCATGCGGCAAGGGCCTACATCAGGGACCTTCCAGAAGACAAGGCCGTAGTCAAACTTGATTATAAATATGCCTTTAATATAGTGAAGAGAGATGTGATCTTTCCGGCTTTTCAGGATCAGTTCCACAGTCTTTTTCCCTTCATTTCAGCAGGCTACATCAAACCCTCAATTCTTTTGTTTGGCGTACATGAAATTCCCTCATCAGAGGGTGTTCAGCAGGGTGATCCACTCGATCCACTTCTCTTCTGCTTGGCAGCAAGAGAACCAACTTCCAACCTACACAGCGAGCTCAACATTTGGTACCTGGTTGATGGCACTCTCGCAGGTACTGAAGAGTCCTTGTTAGAGGACCTACAACTGGTGAAGACAAAGAGAGAAGCCTTGGGACTCATCCTCAATTTTTCCAAGTGTGAAATCATCACAACGAACCAGGAAATAATCAATGCTGTGCGAACAATCCTCCCGTAAGTCTCAATTACCACTCCATCCAACAGTACCCTTTTGGGAGCACCGCTGGGTCACCAGGCCGTCGACACGGTCCTCAAGCGAAAATTGAATGACCTGAAGAAAATGGAGGAGAGAATAAACGATCTTGATGCCCATGAAGCCCTGTATCTCCTCATAAGGTGTCTTACTATGCCAAGTCTCACTTACTTCCTGAGGTGCACGCCCTCTTTTGACAGCCCAACACTCGACGAATATGACGCACACCTGAGATCAATTTTTAAGACAGCACTGAATCTGTCGCTAGAGGATCAGCAATGGGATCAGGCAACCCTCCCAGTGCGACTAGGAGCTATAAGGGTGCGCAAAGCAACGCAGGAAGCTTTATCTGCATTTCTGCCTTCGTGTTTGGCTTCCAGCGGATTAGTCAAGAAGATTTTCCCCGAAAGCTTAAAACGTGGTAGGAGCTCAAGACCCAATCTTCACTGGAGCAGCCATGCAGAGGGACATCCTTGCAGACTCCTCCAGTAGACCAGCTCCTCCCAAAGAGCAAAAACAGCCCCACTGGGACAAACCGATCATGGACAAAATCGCCAAGACAATGCTCACCAAAGCTTCAGGAAAGGACAAAGCTCGTCTCCTAGTGGTGAAGGCACCACACTCAGGAGATTTCCTTCTAGCTGTTCCCAATTCCTCCCTGGGCACTCGGCTCAACCCACAGGCCATCTGGATTGGTGTTGCTCTTCGCCTAGCTGCCCCATCCTCATCGAACATAGGTGTATTTGCGGCAGGGCGACGGCTGATCAATTCGGACTTCATGGGCTCATGTGTCACACATCAGAAGGGAAGTATCCCAGAAATAAGGAGGTCAACGACATCTTAAAGGGTTGGGTGGTCCTGTGGCTTAAAGGGTCATGTGGTTCTCGCTTACCATGAGGCAGGCCAGTACAACATGGGTTCGAATCCTTGGCTAGCGCAGTGTTGTTATTGATGAATACCAGTCGTCCGTGGTTACAATAATATATATATATATATATATATATATATATATATATATATATATATATATATATATATATATATATATATATTCAACAAGTCGACCATCTCCCACCGAGGCAGGGTGACCAAAAAAGAAAGAAAATCCCAAAAAAGAAAATACTTTCATCATCATTCAACACTTTCACCTTACTCATACATAATCACTGTCTTTGCAGAGGCGCCCAGATACATGAGTTTAGAAGCATATATATAAATATATATAACATATCTCTCCAAACTGCCAATATCCCAAACCCCTCCTTTAAAGTGCAGGCATTGTACTTCCCATTTCCAGGACTCAACTCCGGCTATATAAAAATAACCGGTTTCCCTGAATCCCTTTGCTAAATATTACCCTGCTCACACTCCACCAGCTCGTCAGGTCCCAAAAACCATTGGCCTCCATTCACTCCTATCTAACACGCTCACGCACGCTTGCTGGAAGTCCAAACCCCTCGCCCACAACACCTCCTTTACCCCCTCCCTCCAACCTTTTCGAAGACGACCTCTACCCCACCTTCCTTCCCCTACAAATTTATACGCTCTCCAAGTCATTCTACTTTGACCCATTCTCTCTAAATGACCAAACCACCTCAACAATCCTCTTCAGCCCTCTGACTAATGCTTTTATTAACTCCACACCTTCTCCTAATTTCCACACTCCGAATTCTCTGCATAATATTTAAACCACACATTGCCCTTAGACAGGACATCTCCACTGCCTCCAGCCGCTTGTTTGCTGCAACATTTACAACCGAAGCTTCACACCCATATATGAGTGTTGATACCACTATGCTTTCATACATTCCTTTCTTTACCTCCATTGATAACTTTTTTGTCTCCACAAATACCTCAACGCACCACTCACACGTGTTATTTTAGACCTTCTCGTTGGAAGCAATTCAAAATTCGCGACGCTGTTAACCACTAAATGAAACAGTCAAGTGGTTAAGACTGGTCATCTGTCTCACCTTTATGTCTTATCTCCGTAATGATCATTCACGAGTGTTATCCCCTAGAGTGATCATAAAAGGTGATGCCAGTGTGTCACTGGTTCCTACTTTCTATACAGTTTGAGAACCCTTTCATGTTTAACTTCCCTTAACAGGAATTTCTTTATGTGATTCAGGTATTGAAATCTTTCTTAATAGTATGTTGAAAGAGATCATATAATAAGTTGAAATCATATCTAATAAAATTGGCGATGTAGCACTAAAAGATGCCATTTGTGAATTTTCATAAGACTTGTTCTGGGAAAAGTCTCATTCTGAGAGAGACGTGACCGCATGTGATTCCCAGCTCACTGTCCTGAGTAAACACTGGAATCTCATGTTCTAGAGGAAATAATTCTGGTACGGAGGTTTAAGCCAGATCCCGAACCTATTTAATGAGAATTAAAGGTTTCTCACAAAATTTACCATATGCTACTACATCGTTTCCGAATTGGTGCTGAAGGGGACACTTGATATATCCCAAAATTTCGTACAATCATTGTTTACGTTGATTACTGATTACGTTGATTACGTTGTTTACTGCAAAATAAGAAACAATACATCCCAGAGTCCAGGAAGGTAATAATAGTTGGTTGAAAAAGACATGTGAACAAACACTAGGACATATAAGAGAGCGTTTCTGTCATGCGACGAACTTGATCACTTCTAATACACAGAGAATAAAATAACAGTAATATAAGCGGAGAGTGGGGCGTGAGTGACACATAGTGACCTGAAAAAATTACATATTTGAGAAGAGGCCAGGTAGACAATGAGGTCATTTGATTCCTGTGTTGTGCACCTGACCTCTTCTCAACTATGTCAGTTTTCTGTTCACTATGCGTCACAAATGATACATATCTTGTCAGGCACAGCAACATCATGAAATCTTGAAACAGAGTGCATCACCACAACCTACATGCTAACTTCTGGTCCAGCTCTTGGGCATGATCTACTTCCACTGGGGAATCCCGCTTATCAGTGACAATGCCTTCGTCTGCTGTACCTCACATGAATCCATTATATAAACATCAGTTTTCCTGCCTATGTTACAGATTCTTCAAGACTACGGTGCTTATTACCTAATCACAGGCAAAGGGACTGATTACTTTATCTTCCACTGTCTTCTGTATATATTTCTACATTCTTCAGATTATATCCTTATATTGTACTGATAAAGCCATTGGAAGGCCAAATATCTACAAAATAAAGATACTCGTATGTTGCTGCACATATCTAATTCTTTTGATATACAATATTGATAAGCTGGTGAATTAGACACAGTTGTATCACCTGGGTATTTTTATTTAGTAGATGTTTCGCCAACCAGTGGCATTATCAGTTTACAAATTTCAGAAAAGTGTCGGAGATGAGGTAATCAGTCCCTCAGCCTGATAACCTAGATGTTCAGTGCTTTAGTCTTCATGAATCTGAAGCACAAGCAGAAACATACACGTTTATATACAGGAGTCAAAAACAGTTATTGTCACGAGTAGTCAGGACTTAACAGTGGAAGTAGTTATGTTCAAGAGTTGGGACAAAGGTTAGTAAGTGGGGAGAAGAAAGCTTCTGTGTCAAGATTCCACAGTGTTACTCTGGCTGACAAGTACTGATACTTTTAAATACCGACATGGAAAAGAGGAAGTCTACAGCCAAATAAAAGTGGTGTTCGGGTTGATAAATTCAACACTGAATACTCCAGACACACTGCCAACACACTGCTTACCGAGCAGTGTGTTGGCACTGTTCAGCCCACCCACTGTTCAGCCCACCCACTGTTCATCCCACCCAAGCTGAACAGTGGGAAGAAGTGCTAATTTTAGTATTTTAAATCAGGTGACAAAATCTATTCGTGTGCAGAGAAATGTTTTAATTTAAATTCTTGCATAGAAAGCTGATTATTAACGTAAATGAACAAAATACACAAAGAACTAGGTAGTATACAAGTCAGATAATCACCAGGCATCATACAGTTGATTAATATAACAAAAATCTCGTGTATGATTACCTGGGATCATTTACCTTATACCTGCAAACATAAGACCCACGCAGACCTCAGTGTCTTCAGCAATCTGCCTTTGCCACGTACTAACACTTAACTCATCCTTTCCCTCAGAGCAAGCCACCGTTCGTGTTCTGGTACCACGGAGAGTACATGGTCAACTACGACGGTAGCCGCCACCGCCTCAACGTCATCACCACCGTGGAAAGTATTACGACGCAATCACGCCTCACTATAACTGACGCAAGGTGAGTCATGCAGTCGCTGTCAGTGATATAAGGAGAGTGACGCACTCACCATCACTGACACAAGGTGAGTTAAACACTCACCATCATTGAGACAATGTAAATGACCTCACTATCTTAATGATCACTAGCTGAGTGATGCACTCATCATTCACCAGCATAAGTTGAATAATGCATTCACCATCACCAACACAAGGTGAATAATGCAATCACCATCACTGACGCAAGGTGAGCACTGTATTGTCATCTTCAGTCCCCCATCACTGACGCAAGGTGACATGTGTTCAACATTATTGAAACAGTGACTCACAGAAATATTCACTATCACTGACACACTTACTGTTACTGATACATATTGTCACTGACACAGTCATCATCACTGACACACTCACCATCACTAAGATACTCATTATAACTGACGCACTCACCAACACAAACACACTCACCATTCTTTATTCACTCACTGTCTCACCATCACAGACATACAGTCATTAATTTACTCACCATTACTGACACATTCACCATAATTGGCAAACTCAGCGTCACTCACACACTCACCAATACTCTTTCATTAACTCTCACTGATACTCGGCATTACTCACACAGGGACACTCACATACTCACTATCATTCATACACCAATTCTCCCATACCATGACTGACACACTCATCATCACTTACTCACTATTACTCTGAAACTACTGTAACTGATAAACTCATTATCACTCACTCTGATTCACACTCTCACTGTTATACACACTCACCATCGCACACGCACTCACCATCATTCACACACTCACTATCACTTACATGCTTACAATCAATGATACAATCATCACTCAAGCTCTCAACAATACTAAAACACTCACCATCAGTGACACGCTCACTCATCATCACTAATTCATTCCCGCATTCACTATCAGTATCACACTCACTATTACTCCCATTCCCCATTGCAAACAGACGTACCATCAATGACACTTTCTCAGTAATGGTGAACGCCCCGCTCACCATTACTGATACACTCTCCATCAGTAAGAACCTCGCCTTCACTTACTAACACACACATACACCATTACTGACACACTATCACTGACTTCTTCACTGTTACTGTGACATTCAACATCCTTAACCACCTATCACTCCTACATTCACGTTATTTCTCACACGCTCATTATTACTCAGACGTTCACTACAATACTGTCACCATTTCTCACACACACATTCCATCAGTAACATTCAACATAATTTACCAACTATTACTCACTTCAACAACAACATCAACTAGGACCAAGTAAACCATGTCCTAATTGAAACATGTTGGGAAGATATCTTAAATAACCTAGACCCTAACCAGTGCACTGAGAAGATCAACTTCCTGGTTGCTGAAGTATGTTTAAGGTATATTCCCATAAGAAAAAAGAAGAGAAGTAGTAAACTGAGGAGTGAGGGGCGCTCCCTCTACAGGAGAATGCGAAGAACCACTGAGCTCCTGAAGAACGCTAGATTTTCTGAAACACGGAAAGAAGCACTAACCAGAGAATTGGAAAATATTGAGCATATGTTAAAGGATTCATACAGGATCCAGGAGAGACAAGAGAAGCTAGAAGTAATTTGTGAAGGTGAAGGAAATTCGAAGTATTTATCTTTATATGCCAAAAACAATGCAAAAACCACATGTAGTATAAGGCTCCTACTCAAACAAAATGGATCTTACACAGGTGACGTCAAAGAAATGAGTGAGATACTGAAATCTCAATACGACTTTGTGCTTAGCGAACCCCTAGTCAGTCTAAAGATAGACAATCCAAATAATTTTTTCATGAATGAGCTTCAAAACCTTGTAAGTGTATGCTAAATTTCTGTCATAACCTTAACTTCACTAGACTTTGATAAAGCCATTGACAATATGCCTATGCACTCAACCCCAGACCAAGATTCGTGAAACTCTATGTTCATTAAGAACTTCAAGAAACTCCTCTTCTTGGCTCTAAGTATGCTACAGAGAAGGAGCATAGAGAAAGGTGAGATTCCACAGTCACTTAAAAAACGGGTGGCAGCAAAGCTATAGCTAAGAACTATAGACCAGTAGCTGTAACATCCCACATCATAAAAATCTTTGAAAGAGTTCTAAGAAGCAGAATTGCAAACCACTTGGATAGCCAACACTTGCACAATCCAGGGCACCGTATCATCATCTGCAGACGATACTAGGATCTGCATGAAAGTGTCATCCATTGAGGACACGGCAAAGCTCCAAGAAGATATAAACCAATTTTTCCAATGAGCAACGGAAAACTATATAATTTTCAAGGAAGACAAATTCCAACTACTTCGTTATGGAAAACTGGAGGAAACAATAGCTAGGACTGAGTATACTACAAACTCTAATCACACAGAAGAACGGAAAAGTAATGTGAAGGACCTGGGAGTGGTAATGTTTCAGGATTTCACCTTCATGGGTCATAAGAGCGTCACTACCACATTTGCGAGAAAAATGATAGAATGGATAAAGAGAACATTCAAGACAAGATATACCAAACCAATGATGATCCTTTTAAATCACTTGTTTTCTCTAGCCTGGAACACTGCTGTACACTGACAGCTCCATTCAAGGCAGGTGAAATCGCAGATCTAGAGAATGTACATAGAGCCTTTACTGCACATTATCAGTTCCATCAAACATCTTAACTACTGGGAACGCTTAGAAGCATTTGACTTGTACTCACTGGAATGCAGGCGAGAGAGATACATCATAATCTGCACCTGGGAAGATCCTAGAGGGGCTGGTCCATAATCTGCTCACAGAAATCACAAGACTTAGCAGGCGATGCAACATAAGCCCAATGAAAAGTAGGGGCACCATTAGTACACAAAAACAAAACATCATAAGTATCCGTGACCCAAAACTGTTCAACAGCCTCCCACGAGCCATGAGGGGAATTACCAATAGACCCCTGGTTGTCTTCAAGAAGGAGATGGACAGATACCTAAATTCAGTGCCGGATCAACTGGGCTGTGGTTCGTTTGTTGGACTATGTGCTGCCACCAGTAACAATCTAGTTGATCAGGCTCTGATTCACCGGGAGATCTGGTCGAAGACCGGGCCGCAGGGGCGTTGATCCCTGGAATACCCTCCAGGTAGATAATTTACACACACACACACATATATATATATATATATATATATATATATATATATATATATATATATATATATATATATATATATATATATATATATATATAATATATGTCGTGCCGAATATGTAAAACTGGTCAATTAGCAAGAACTCATTTAAAATTAAGTCCTTTCCAAAATTTTCTCTTATACGTTTAGAGATATATTTTTTTCATTAATGTTAATGTAAAAATTTTTTATTTTGCTCCAAAAGAAACTTAGAAAACTTACCTAACTTTATTATAACAAGAACAATTTATTTTAGCCTAACCCAACTAAATATATTTTATGTGCGAACATTAAAATGGTATAAAATACCGACAGATTGTTAGGTAAGACACATATGCAACAGTTAGGTATCTTTATTTCGAAACGTTTCGCCTACACAGTAGGCTTCTTCAGTCGAGTACAGAAAAGTTGATAGAAGCAGAAGATACTTGAAGACGATGTAATCAGTCCATCACCCTTAAAGTTTTGAGGTGGTCAGTCCCTCAGTCTGGAGAAGAGCATTGTTCCGTTGTCTGAAACAATATGAAGTTGAAGTGACAGAATGGGGCCTTATATAGTGCCAGGAGGTGAGACGTAGGTTGCTTTGGGAGGGCAGGTCCCTCTCAATATATTTTAAATACGTTTACAATAATTTAGTACTAAACAAACACAATCAAATATATTTTTTTCGTTAGGTTCAGAATGATTTTGGCGAAATTATTGCATACACAAATTTTCACTTGTCCTATATGGCAAGATGAACGTTGCTATTTAAGCCAAGATCGCAAGTTCTGCCTATTCGGCACGACATATATATATATATATATATATATATATATATATATATATATATATATATATATATATATATATATAGAGAGAGAGAGAGAGAGAGAGAGAGAGAGAGAGAGGGAGAGAGAGAGAGAGAGAGAGAGAGAGAGAGAGATAAATAGATAGATATACGTGGCAAATACGTCAAGCCTTCTCTAAACGCGTCGCAGCGATCTCCGTTGTCTTTCGAGGATTATAGCTTTTTTTTGAGCGTGCTATAACGTAAAACTGTGCTAGTGAATTTATAAAGTACATCTGTTCAGTGATGGAATCTCATCTAGCAAATAATAGCAACCACTGTGCTAAAATAAGGAAAGAGTGTGCTAGTGGTCTGTACTCCGAGGGGAGTTAAGGAGCCAGAGTGCCGTGTGTGAATAAACACCAAAGGATTTTTTGCGAGAGGAAATAAAACTTCCCTGAAAATTGAGTATAATTCGTAGTGAAATAGCGTATATCACTGTGGTACTGGAGTGCATAGATAAGTCACCTCAGTTAATGTGGTGAAATTAAGAGAGAAGTAATATGCTAATATTTTAAACCAGTGTTGCTAGCAGTCGCAAGATTCTACCACGCAAGTCAATGTGTTTAAAAAAACTTTCCCACAAACTGTTAATCTACCCTACGTATAATCCAGTGATACCATAGAGTAAGACCTTATCAAATACGAAAAAATAGGATTTTAATATGAGAATATTACAGTGATATTGCAGTGTAAGTTCAGTGGCTCATCCATTGTTTCCACAATGGGGAGGCCTGGCCTTAGACCGGGTGGAGGGGGCGTTCACCCCCGAAACCCTCTCCAGGTATACTCCAGGTAACGGCTGTTCTACGGTTTACGGTGCCAATACAGGAAATTGTTTGGGTCTAAAAGTGAACATTGATCAGAGTGAGGAATCAGTACGATCAGCAAAAGTAAAATATATTTGAGTGATCAGTGAGGAATGAATCTGGAAAGAGTTATACAATGAACCAAACAAAATGAAATGCAGAGAAAATATGATACA